AAAAAAAAAAATTGCCATATAGTTCCATGTCCATCATCAAGGAAATCTGTGACAACATGTGAACACAAAAGAGCTTGGGTAGCCCCAGCCCTGCAGTACTGCTGATGGTCATCATGGCTTCTTTCTTGAATTAGCTTTGCTCACTCCTTGGGGCTTTACACAGATGATGCATGTCCTGGCTTTTCCAACTGCTGACATAACCACTTTTAGGTTTACTCAACAGCTTCACATACTACCCTCTCAGATACACTGCCTGTCCTCCCAGGCCACCTTCTGAAATCTGGGTAGAAGCCTCCATGGCCCTATAACTCTAGTACTGTTCATTCATCTAAAACCAGCACCATGTGGATGTGGCCAATAGTTTACTGCCAGTTGGAGCAGTTACCAGGCTTCATTCTGCTTTGGTTATAGGGTTATGTGTCAAGTTCCTGGATTGTTGAGTGCTACTTGAACTCAGAAACCAATCGAGAGAAATAAATTGAGTAGGCCTCCACTATTATGAATTGTGGTGCCCTGGGGCTATCATCTTTAACCGTTACAATTTTGAGGCTGCATTGTAGAGTCTTGCTGCTTCTAGTGATGCCATCAGGCCATCTTTTCTATTGTCCTGTTCTGAAGTACTTTGCTAATGTTTTAATACTGATTAAAAGATTTTAATGCTAATCTTTTCCTCACCCAGATTCTCTGCTCCATCTTTGTAGGCTGCATTACTAGCTAGAGCTTCCATTCTGCCAAACTCAAAACTTTTTAAATCATTCTGCTGAGCCATTTGTTCTTGTTTCTCAAAGGAAAACTGGTTAAAAGCCGCCAGCAGTAGCCATGCCAATGCGTCAACATTAGACTGCCTTTAAGTTTCTTCTACAGTATTAATTGGTCCACTGCCATTAATCTGAGAGTCTCCAGAAATGACTCTGGACATGGGCAAAAGGCACAAAATTTTCAGCTGGAGCAAAATACACATGGCCTACAGTCCATTTGCCAATGGAGTCCTTCCCAGTAGAACCCCCCTGAACCTTGTCTTTACTGGCTGTATTATTCTCAGAATTCTGGGCTTCTGAGCTCTGACCAGAATCTCCCATCAAGTTCACAGCATTCTAAGGATGCTTATCCAGTCTGCATTTCCAAACCATTCCGTACTCTTCCTATAAACCAGCTCCAAAAAACTTCTGAACCATATGATCAGGTAGCATTACAACAATGGCTCCACTTCTCTGATACCAGAATCTGTCTTTAATTACCTTCTTATCACTGAGATACAATATTCAACACCCACAATTTAATGAAGAGATTCATTTTTGGCTTACAGTTGGTAGAGATTTCAGTCCATAACCAACATGCTCCAAGGCAGAACAGCATGGCAGAGGTGAAACTGCTAATGGCATGGCAGTCAGGAAGCAGAGCAGCATCAGGGGAGAGGGAACATCCACAGTTATCCTCCTCTTCCCATCAGGCTTCACCTCCCAACATCATACCCATAAGTGGAATGATCCAGTATCACACACCCATGATCCAGTCAGCTCCCAAAAGCCCCACCTAAGAGTGCATGAGGCTTTGGTGGGACACATAGATAGATAGAAGCCTTAACATAGTATGCTGGTGGTGATTATCTTGTGTGCAGGAATATCCATTGGCCTGGTATATGTGTTAGCTTGTTTGGCTCTGTGAGTGCAGAATAAGACTAGTACCTCTGCAGGGTATGGTGGTGCACGCCTGTAATCCCAGCACTCAGGAGGCTGAGGCAGGTGGATTGCCACAAGTTTGAGGCCAGCCTGAACTATACAGTAAGACCCTGTCTCAAAAAAGCTAAAAATAAAAAGACTTCTAAAACTTCATTTTGGGTAAGAGTCAACTAAAAAATTTATTGAAACTGATTTTTAGATTCCACTGCCAGAAATTTGTTCAGTAAACTTGCACTGAAAAGTGAGACTGTATTCCTAGTAAACTCATAGGTAGTTAATGCTTTTCTAGTCTGTGGACCACAGTTTTAATGATACTCTGCTGGGCTAATCCTGCCTGGCTCTCTAACAGAGATTTTCTTGCCTGTTTAATAGGAAGTTTAAAAACTGTTAGCATTTATGGAACCACAGAGGAATGTCATCGATGATGTATAGTGTGCGTGGGGAGAGTCAGATGGAGAGAAAAAACATTTTCTCAGGCTTTCACAGAGAGCAAATTGTTCAAGCAATGGCCGTGACTCATCCACATGGCTGACACTGACAAAGGATCTACAAACTGCGGTACAGGGTTACAGGATAAATCCTGAGAGTACTTGACTGACCTTATCAGATACAAAAGTTACATTTCTTGTTATATAGGTCTTACTTTATCTTGGTCTTAACCATCCAGCAGAAAAGTATAAAAACGAGGTATATAAAGTAAAGCCATATTAATATGATGAGCTGTAAAAAGGCTCAAGTCAATAACTTCTGAGGATAACCCACTAATATTATAGACTGCTAGACAGTGTTAGATTGTTTAGCTGACTTCAAACACCTATAGTATTTAGATGTCAATAGAATATCCACCTCTGACAGGACAAAAAAAAGGGAGATACAAAGGAAAGATCATTTTGTATTTATATGTACAAAATAGTTATGATAAATATACAGTTACTTTTGCTTAATTCAATGAGAAGAAAGAGCTGTACTAATAGTGTTTGGACAGGAAATCCTGTCTGCTTCTTGTACTATGGATAACCACTAAGAAGATAACAATGTACAATGTATTGATTATCGAAACTGTCCTACTAATCAGCTTTGAAACTATCTCATTCATATTTATTTCTCAATTAAAAATAAAAAAATAAAAAATAAAAATTGTAATCACAATAAAAAAATAAATTAAAAATAAAATAAAATGATTTTTTTTAAGTTATGCAACTTGGAGGTATCTAAGGATATTTAGAATGAGAAAAATAATTTTAAATTTTTAAAAAACAACTGTTAGTATTGGCTGAAAAGTTTGCACTGTTTTGGGTTCTTTGAATGGGAGAAATATTATTTGAACTCATGAGCTCTGCTAATGTACTTTCTTTAAAAGTTCTAAAGCCATGCAGGCTGGTGCACACCTGAAATCTCAGCACTTGGGAGGCTGAGGCAGGAGGATCACTTTGAGTTCAAGGTCAGCCTGGACTACATAAGGGATTTCAAGGCCAGTGTGTACCACATAAGCAAGACCCTGTCTCAAAAAAAGTTCTATTAATTGCAAAAGACTCTTTAAATGCTTTATTTTATTGATGTAAAGCAATGACATATAGCTCAAGAAACATTTACTTTCAGATTATTAAATTTATATGTTCTTCCTAAGTTTTATTCACATTAGAAAATTATTTTTCCTAGGAATTTCTGTTATGGCAAAATACATTAGCAGATATCTTTTGTTTGACTTTTAATAGTTGAAAAAGTTTAATTTGCTCTTTGCATTTTTAACTCTTTGAGTATTCTTTTATAGTGGTGAACTACTGAACATCTAAGAATGTTCTCAGGGAAGTATTTATTTTACAACAGGTAAAATGGAATGTAAAATAATCTAGAATTAAAGAGAAATGGCTGTCTTAGTCCATGTGGGCTGCTGTAATAAAATACCATAGACTTGAGTGTCTATTAAACAACAGAAATTTATTTCTCACAGTTCTAGAGGCTGAGAAGTCCATGATCAAGGTGCCAGCAGATACAGTCTCTGGTGAGGGACAATTCCTGATAGCCAGCACCTTCTCACTGCATCCTCACATGGTGGTAGGGGCCATCTAGCTCTGTGGGGTCTCTTTTATAAGGGTACTAATCCTGTTTGTGAAGGTTTACGCTCATGACGTAACCACAAGAACCCAAAAGGCTCTACCTTCTAATACCATCACTTGAGGTTAGGATTTTACCATATGAGTTTGGTTTGGTTTGGTTTGGTTTGGTTTGGTTTGGTTTGGCTTGGCTTGGCTTGGCTTGGTTTGGTTTGGTTTGGTTTGGTTTGGTTTGGTTTGATTTGGTTTGGTTTGGTTTGGTTTGGTATGGTACTGGGGATCAAACTCAGGACCTTGCACTTGCCAGACAGGCACTGATGCTACTGAGCTATATCCCTGGCCCTTACCATATGAATTTGTGGGGAAACACAGTGTTTCAGACCATAGCAAATGTAAACAGAATTCTGTTATTTAGATTCACAAACTTTTATTCAAAACAAGATATGTAGTCATGAAATAAATAATAATGACTTTATGTACAATAAAATCTTATTTGCCTTTTATCTCTCCAGCTATCATGGCACCCAACCAAATAAACAATGTTCATTAAAGAAGCAGCCAGGACCTTTCAGGTAACTAATTGATCTTTTTCTAGTCTTCATACTGAAAAATTTTAGTAAATTTTTAAAACTTGCTAGTAGGGTACCTAATTTGGAAATATGAATGATTGTTACCAGATGTGATAAAGTTCTATTTATTATATCCTTTTGTCATTGCTGACTGCATTTTGTTGGCAGTGGTGCTAGTCATTGAGATGAAACCTTCGTACATTCATATTGTATAGTAACAAAAAATAATGCTGGGCATGGGGGTTCACAACTGTAATCCCAATACTCAGGAGACTGAGAATCTCTCAATTCAAGGCCAACCTGAGCAACATAACGTGTTCAAGGCCAGACTGAACACAAGCAAGGCCCTGTCTTAAGAAAAAAAATTTATTTTTTTTCCATGATTTTATTTAGAGACAAATAGCAGTGAGACAGTTTCAAATCAAATTCGTAGGACAGTTTCAATAATTGACACATTGCATACTCTCTTCCTAGAGGTTATTTGCTGTACAAGATGCAGACATGATATCCTATTTACAAACACTGTTACAACAAATCCCTCTATTCATTAAGAGAATGTAACTATATATCTATCCTAACCATTTTGAATACACAGATACAAAATGGACATTCATCTGTATCCCCTTTTT